CTCATAAGCAGCTTACGCAGTACAGTATTCAGAAAATAGCAGTGCATTAATTTTTAAAGTAGAAAATGCAGGCGAAGAGCAGTGCTGCCGCATGATGATAATGAAGGTGGATATTGTAAAGTCTTCTGAGAGAAAAGGAGGCAGTGAGCTCCCGAAATGTGAACATTTATAAAACAATAACCAGATATTCATATGATAATAAGCTTGGACAACAGTATCAACAAAGGCCAAAGATGCAGTCCTGTTTCTGCTTAAGCCTGATGAATTGAAAAACAGAGAGGCAGTCTTTAGTCAGTTATTCAAATCCAGTAGTGAGCAATTGTTAGAATGACAGAATAGACATCTAGAAAGGTCAGGAATCTAATTTTTTTTTTTAAGTTATGATATAGGTTCAGATTGTATGGTAAATGGCAGCATCTTTAAACAAAATCTTAGATGTAGTCAGTTTTCTTAAAATACAGTGTTCAACATGTTGCATTATTGGTTCCTTGTGTTGCAGAGCTTGTTATGTATGCAAAGCACGGTGTCTTACATACTATCAGGTGATGTTACCACGTTTCTGCAGAGTAAATAGGAAAGGTCACCCAGAACTTGATGAACTTGTCTAGCTCATAGCTGCTATTTAGTTTAAGTTTTGCATTAACAGTGATATCATTTTAGGCTTAGTTAAAAAGAATACGGAACATCCCAGATCAGATTTTATCTAATCTGTTATTAAAATTATTGAATAGAAGATATATAGAATTCCTTTCTCCAGTGTGAATAGAAGTAATTTTTTTGGAAATCTATAGCTTTCTAATCCTAGTATCTTGAAAAGAAACAACTTTTTGCTGCCTACCGTATGAATCCCTAACGCTTGCTCTATGGGAGGTGCCAACATTTTTCACAATACAGCAGTTTAGTAATTGAAAAAGTCCCTATCTTTCACTCTTATCTTCATGCTTTACTAATTCTACTGCTAATAGAAGAGTTTTCGTTTCAACTTCTGGGGAGTTTTCAAAACAAGATTGTAAATAGGAACAGCTCTGTTCAGCTGGCATTGAGATCCCATTGCAACCAAAACAGTAGAAAAAAAAACGGGCAAACAAGGATGGGATAAAGAGATGGAATGAAGGATGAGCTCTGGAGAACTTCTGAAGGGCTAAGGCAACCTCAAGTACTAAAATGAAAAGATGGGTGGTCTTTGCAGCTGGACTTTGGAGGAACTGGCCAGAGGCAAGACAATCAAGAGAGGACATGGCTATAGATGACAAGAATAGCTTTCTTATCATGGACTAGTTCTTTGGCCTTAAAAATGGAAAGAAAATGATGAAATTTGGAGAAGTTGTAGAGATATAAGTACTGACTTTGTAAAATAAATAAATAAAAGTGAGGTAGTTAGAAAAAGAAGAAAAGGAAAGCTGGTACTCGAGTTTGACAGATGAAATGAAGAATTTATGGTAATGACAATGAGAAAAAGTAAAAAAAGGTAAAGGATTTTGCTTAGGTAATACACAAAGTAGGATTTGGTCTGGCAATTTTCCAGTGATATGATTTTGGCTTCTTTTCTTGCCTTTCTGTGTTCCCCCAGGAAAACTCAGTGACTGTCTTGAATAGACATTGGGTAGAGCAAACAAATGGAGCTTTGTTTGCAGAGTCCATCTTAACTGGTTTTGACGATCACTTCCCAGGATGAAGAAACAGCTTTAGCTGAGGACTCTGATGGATAAATGTACAAAGCTTTCAGATAAGTGAGATAAAACTGTAAGAAATTGGAAGTGTGAATATACATACTCCAACTGGTTGAATTTGAAGGCTCAGAGAGAACATAGGGAGCTAATACTAGTTATTTCTGCTTGTGTTCCAGGTGGTAATGATCAGCGTTCACGTGGTTGGGGCTTTGCATTTCAGAGTTCTTTATAGTCCTGTGTTGCAGATGTTTTTCCCAAGGCCTCAGAAAGTTCATATGTTTTAAGAGTCCTTTAGTGCATTTGCTAAATCTGGTTTTCATTAGGAAGGACTCCACAGATGCCCTTTTTAAACTTTTGCACTTGGTAGACTCAGACTGTTTCTCTCCTATATATTTTTTTCTCTGGCTTTTGCATTTGAAAGAAGAATGGTGGAATAATGACAGGTACATTGATTTGGAGAAGCATCAGCTCCAGAGTAATTATTTAAATAGCCTATAGTTGTTTTCATATCAGATTTAATATAAATCTGAAAGTATTCTCTAAATTACAATCCAGTCCTAACCATAACCATGGTTTTAAGTTGAGGGAGGGGAGATTTAGGTTGGACGTCAGGGAGAAATTCTTCTTGGTGAGGTGCTGGAACAGGCTGCCCAGAGAGGTTGTGGATGCCCCGTCCCTGGAGGTGTTCAAGGCCAGATTGGATGGGGCCCTGGGCAGCCTGGTCTAATATTAAATGAGGAGGTTGGTGGCCCTGCATGTGGCAGGGGGGTTGGAGATTCATGATCCTTGAGGTCCCTTCCAACCCTGGCAATTCTGTGATTCTGTGATTCTGTGATAACTGGAATAGACAGTACCAGAGTGCTTGAAGCTGAAGGAAGTAACACCAATTAGCTTACTCTTTGCTAGGAATAGGCTTGGTACTCCTGATTAATTTCTTTGGGAGACTGTCTCCTGTGCAGTCTTTACCTCTGCTCTAGTAACCTTCACAGTTAGTCCTTGGAGAAGAAGAGGGAGGACAATAGGCAATGAGAGGAAAGGTAGGTGGGGGACAGCATCTAACTATTTTTTCTCATCTCTAACGGGCCTTGCAGTCCTTTCTAGTTTTCATTACCTAATGCCATTGCATCACTGGAAGGGAAACCTCTGACTGTCCTGCTTTATTTACCCCAGATGGGAGAACAGCAAATATGAATTATGAGAACTGAAATTGAACCTAGTTCTTGTCAGCTTTATACTTCTAAATGAAAGTTTTTGTCGTACTTAAAACATCTCAGATGGATAAATTTCTATAGTTTGTTCATGAGTAAGTAAGAACAGCTGTATCGCTTTATTGAAAGTTGGCTCCAAACAAACAAAACAAAACAACCCCCCCCCCCCCCCC